CATCCTGAACCTAACATCTCCTCCAGAATAAACCCTACTTAGTTCTGCTGAGGTGTATTCTGATAAAACTAGATTTTGCTTGATCCATTCTTACAGCATGAATTTACTAGTAAAACAGCAAAGTGATTGCTTTTAAACAAATTATATTTATTAAGAAAACTTATAGACAAGTAGACCATTCCCAGGTCATTCAGATTTTAGAGTTGAGGCAATGATAGAATACAAAACTGCTTGGGAATTACATCACTTTTGTGATATCAGATTGAGGTCTGCATAATCTTGCTGACACTTGGATTTGGCAAGTTCCTGTCTACCTGCAGTTATCTTGTGCCGTCCTTAGTTATGTAAACCTTCTACAATTTGTGAATAGTCTGCATTGAAAATAATAACTGTGATTTTTGGTGCCCTTTGTGTGTCAATCAAGACATTTGGAATACAAGTTAGTCACTGGGATCTTAACACTTTTAGATATTAGTTTTTATGAGTAGGCATTTATCTATATATAAAATTTTATAAAGTGTTTTTATAAAAAAATAAAATAGGTAATATTGAGGTAAACTTATAGATGCATAGTTTTTAACTAAATAATGGGGTACTTCTATAAGAAAGTGGCAAAATTATGCATTATATAATTTTTGAAATGTTATTTGGGAAAAAGTACATCTATGTGTGTTTGTACATGACCAAAATACTCGATTGTGACTATGAATTTCTTAAAATTCTTCTCCTAATCTCATATTAAATGGAGGGGGGCTACCACCTAGATATTTTGTTGACTCTGAATCGATTGTTTTATTAATTTCTACTTTGTCTTTTCACATATTTTCAGCAATAATTTTTAACCTTACACATTATTTCGACAAATCAGTTCTATTTTTGAATCATTTTTTTAATAGGGTAGTATAGAATTGATACTCATGTTTGTTGAGTAATTCCTTAACTGCGGGAGATTATTTGCTTCTTAGACCTAATGCTAGATAAAAATATGAAGAAAAACTAAACTAATGGAGGATTTAAAAGGTCCTCTAACCTAATTATTACAACCTCAACTCTTTCTTTAATATTTTTGTATTGAGAGATTCTCAGTACACGAGTACATTTCTTGGTATTGTGTATGAGTCATATTTAGAAACTGATGATTTATATCAGTTAATTCTGAATGTCTCTATATTGATTCTTAGCTTATAATTCAAATTATGTTTTACAATATTCCACAACTTTCACAGATTGTCTCAAAGCATATTTCATTGTTTCATGCTCTACAGCAAGAAAGCTCACACAAATGTATTTTTTTTTTGCTTCACATCCTATTATATAGTAACTTCTTACACTAGCTGTCAAAAATTTGACTGAAATATATCTCAAAAGTGTGTGTAGACTGAGTATTGTATTTATTTTGTAGCAGAATATTTAATAGGAGAAATTTTCTTAGAAAATATAAATAGTACAAAGTGATTAATAGAAAAATGATTATCTTTATTCCTGTGTAGATTTACAAAATAAAACGTTATTCCATAAGATTCTTCACTTGAAACTTATGAAATTGTCAATATATGATAATCTTTGACTTATAAAACTAATTATATTCATTTCTAACTTTTATATTGATATAGAGGAATGAAATTTAGAACTAAATGTATGTCTGGTATGAGCGTGTGTTCTGTAAACTCGAAGAATTAATTTTAGGAACAATGGAGATTAAGAGAAGAAATATTTATTGAGAGAAAGCTTCTGTCTGAGAGAGACATAGAAGGGATCCCAAGTGGGTTGCCAAAGATTCTATCTTTTCCAGGGATTTTTATAGAATAAAACCAAGGGATGAATTGAGTCCAAAGAGGGGAAAACTGGGAACTCAAAGACAGATGGGCATAAGATGGGACAGAACTATGATCAGCCAATCAGATGAATTGTTCAGGTAGAATAAACCAAGTAAGGGACAAATGGGGAAGTGAGTCATGTAGCAAAGGAGCATTCTATGAATCAATGACTCTTCCTGTACGGGACTGGGATGATGATCATCCCATACCTAATCCTTAATGTTTCTATTTAGGGTGTGGTTGCATTTGTTTTGCTTTCTGTCTTGAGATCTGGCCCACACAAAATATTTGGTCTTCTGCACCTGCTTCCTCCAGGGCCTACTTTTTCCTGATTTCCTATATTTCTGTCTATATCAGCTACCTGAAACAGTATCATCTCAGCTGAAACTGTTTCCACCTTTCATTCCCCGATGTGGATCATTGTTTACCTATTAATTCATATTTTCTACTCAAGAAATAGACAGTCTTATACTCATATTAATATTTTTTTCAATTTCTTGCCTGCAAATCAGATTTTCTTTAAGTAGCCATTGTTTTTTCTATATCTATCTTATCTTAATATAATTTATTTCTTAGTATAATGTACCTTTTATATGACTTTTTTGTATTTTTAATTTTACCATTATTGTATGCACGTGTGTGTTTGCTTGTGTTTCTTTTGCATACACACAACTGAAAAGAGTCATGTATCTCAGAAAAAAACTTGTGCAAGCACATTTTCATAGCAGTTATGGCATCAGTTTGCATTTTGATTCTGACTACAGCAATTTACTTGTTAAAGTATAATGTAAGTGAATGTAAAATAGGGACAATCATAAAGTTTATTCTAAAGAGTCATGATGAAGATCACCCAAAATAATATACAAAACATTGTCTATCTCACAGGCATGTTTTTAAAGAATAGAATATTTTAGATTCTCTAGGCTTGAAAATTTCTTTTTAGAAGTCAAAGTACAGTACATAGGAAATTGAAGGTACTATATCAGAAAGAAACTATACAAAATTAAATTAATATATCAAAGAGATATTTAAAAATAAAAGCACTCACATTGTCCATAATTTGAAATTATTGTTGTGTCACCCAATATTTCAAAATGTGGATTTTTGCATACATTATATCTTTTTATCATGTCTTTTATCCTCTTAAATTAAAAAGGGCATCTGTGGTCCTCAGTTAATTAGATATAAGGTAATATCTCAGAAGTATAATCAATACAATGAATAAATTATTTATTTGATATTTAATTTGAAACTGAGTACAAAGCTCTTTCCAAGTTTTACATTTAAAAACAGAAATTAATGCTCCACTAAAAATTATGATGTTATTAGTATTTCCTGTTATTTAAAGATTTTTGTTTTTATGGAAGATATTCATGTTCAAGGTTAATTCAGTAGAAGTATAACTATCTCATGTGAACTAATCATTATGTTAACAGAACCTATTTTTAAAGCAATGCAACCCAATGATGCATATTGGAAATGTAGCTTATGAAACAAATGCAAGTGCAGATATACTTGCTGAAAATATGTCAAGAGTGTTGAAATCTTGCTCAGTTCATTTACACTACGTATAAAAGAAGTACTCCTACCATGTGTGTATACGATAGTCTGGTTAAATAAAAGCATTTCAAAATGTATCCAAAGCCAAAATCGTTTTAATCTTCCTAAATATTCAAACACAAGTTAGAGATTTCCAACACTTAGTCATACACTTGGGCTTAATACAGGCGCTAATTAGTTCTTATTCAAAAATAAATAATGTATATGCCAACAATATAAACATGAATTTTTAAAATTGTTATCACCCTTAGTTCAGTAAAAAAGATTTCTAATAGTATCCAAGAAAATATCCTAAGTAAATTTCAACAAGAGAAAACCTTTGTGAACAAAATACCTAATAGACATGTACTCATGTACACAGTTTGATAAGCTAAGACATAGTATTGTAAGGTGAATCCAGAGAGTTATGCATTATATCCCTGTTTCAAGCTTTGAGAACTTGATAAATGCAGGATTCCAGGCACAAATTCCCAGTCACTGTCCTCACCCAATCTTTAGAAAATTAGCTGACCTAAAACAAAAACCCTACACTAATACGACAAAGCATTAAATTTTATTACTGTAAGCATAGGCTAAATGAAAATATGTTTTTGTATTAGTTAAAATGATAGAATTTAATTCGTGTATTATGAAGAAAAGTATGAATCAATGTAGTACATTGTTTCTGTGTAAGTATTGCTGTCATTTCATAATGCTCCTAATGCTTATGGAGATATATTTATTCTGTAAAGTAAAACTCTATAAATTATGTTCTTTCATCTTGCAATAGAGGATGGCTTGATTTGACACATTGTTAAAAGCAGTTTAATTCTAGAAAATTAGAAACAATAACTTCTGTAATGAATTTACATCAATTTCTAAAATTAACCACACTCTTGCTGTGCGATCTTGACAAGTATATCTTTTTGACAATAATGAATAACTTGACTGACATATTCATGTCTTGAAATAAAAGGCTTAATTGAGAACTGATTCGTTCATATTGCTATTAATTCACTGTTTTATGATCTGAGATTCAGAGTATAACTTATTTGATGAAGAATTTTTCTCTACTCTTTGAGTCCAAGAAAATTATACACATTGCCCTTATGCTTTAAAAGCATTATTGCCTCAAATCAATTTAAAAACCCTATCAAATTCTGTAGTAAATCCAATAACTCTATTGAGGTTATTTTTTCTCAGTATAAACATGAAATACATAACTTGAGCAAATCATAAGGACTGACATGTAGATTAGGAAGCAAAAGTAAAACATGATTGGAGGAAGATAGCAATGTCAGAAGGCAGGTAGGAGGAAATTTTGAAATATAATAGCAATTCTTTAAGCACTTTAACCAACTTAGCTTAGAGAATCTACCTGAACAATGTATGTGAATTCTATTTTGTGTGGTATTTAACCCTCTTTTGGAACAGAGAAGTACACATAAATTTATCCTGAAAAATATGCTAACATTGTCCTTCCATTTGACAGTTATTTTCTGGGATATCCCTGAGATTTTGCTAATTTTAAAAAGATGAAAATAATAAATGTTTGTGATTGTGAAACCACGCAATAATAAAACTATATATATATATATATATATATATATATATATATATATATATATATTGTTTGTTTTCTAGACAATCCAGACCATCAGTGCAGTTGATAGAGATGAATCCGTGGAAGAGCATCACTTTTACTTTAACCTATCTGTGGAAGACACAAGCAACTCAAGTTTTATAATCATAGATAATCAAGGTAATACAATTCCCTCAATAATTTTTTGACCATTATCCGTATATCATGTTTGATTTTAATGAGATTTATGACAGATTGTTATGCTGTTATTCCAACATGATAATATTGAGAAATGCAGCAAAAGAATGATAATAAAAATAGAAACAGAACCTAAAGACAAATTCTGAAAATACAGACTTCAGTTGGGATGTAGTTCAGTGATACTAGTGCCTACCTGGTAACCGCAAGGAACTAAGTGTGATTGCAGGTACCCATTCCTCCCCCAAAAAATAAAGAAACGTAGAGGAAAACTCAGATTCTCACTGCTTTTCTTCTAACTGGAACCACTTATTAAATCATCCATGCCTCTCCAAGTCATTTGAAAATGGCACTGGTCCTGCAAATGTGATTATAGTTCTATCATTATGGTTCTTCCACATTTACATCTGTCTTTTTCTTCAACCTTTGTATAAGGAGAAAGTGATGCGTATTAACATAGTGAGGTTAGCTTTCTTGATTCACAGGTATTTTCACTCATTAATTGGAAGTTAGGATATAGACGAAACCATGAAACATAAAACTACATTAGGATTCATGTTTTTATAAAAGTATTTGTTATAAAATGAAGGCTAAGTTATTTTGAAAGTATTTGTGAGTAAACAAGATTTAAACTACCTCTTAGTGTCTTAAAATACTGTCTTTCATATCTATTATGTAGTTGATGGGCAAGTTACCCTTGCTTTTTTCTGGTCTCTTGGTGCATGGAACAATTGTTTTTTTTTTTCTCCTTGATTTTCAGTCTGTCACTTTCTTTTCAAGTGAAATATGTTTCTTGTATACAGTATATCAATGGTCTTGTTTCTTGATCCAATCTCCTTTTGTTTCGTTTTACTGTTGAATTGAGACCATCTGCATTAGTGGTTACTACTGGCATATATTGGTTTGTCTCTGTCCTGCTATTGGTCCTCCGCTTTTCATTTAAATTGCCTGTCTTTTTTGGTGATGCCCTCTGCTGCTGTTTCTAGAACCATAGCTATCTTTCTCTCTCTCTTGTATACTCTGTAGTGTTGATTTGATGGTCATGAATTCCCTCAATTGTTCTTTATTTTGGAAGTATTTTATTTTTTCATCAATTTAAAAGATGGTTTTACAGAATACATCAATCCATATAGGGAGTTGCTTTCTTTGAGGATTTGGAACACTTAACTACAATCTCTTCTTGACTTGATGGTTTGTGTTGACAAGTCTGCCATGATTTTCATTGGTTTTCTGTATAGGTTATCTGTTTGTTTTCTCTAACAGCTTTTAATATAATGTTCTTGTGCTGAATTTCTAGGATCTTGGTTGTTACATGCTGAGGTGTAGATTTACTTTGATTATGGATAGTTAGAATTTTATATACCTTGCTTATGTGTATGACAGATTATTTTCCCATGTTTGGGGAGTTTTCTGCTATTACTTCTGTAAATAGCCTTTGTATTTCACTTGTGTTGACCCCTGATTCTCTACTAATACCGATCATTCTTAATTTATTTTTCTTTGTATTGTCATGTAACCATTTAATTTTTATTTCCTGATTCCTTATTATTTTTAAGAGCTCTTTCCTTTCACAATCATTATCTGTGATCCTGTTCAAGATCTGAAAGTTTATCTTTAGTCTCTTTCAAAGTGGTTTTGCCAGCTTTCAATCAACTTTTTAATTTCCTGGATTTCTCTGACTCTGTTTCATGCATTGTATTTTCTTCCAATGTTGTTCATTCAAGGCTGCAATCATTTTGTTATGCTCCTCTTCTTTGTCTATGTGTTCCTTACATATGCACAGCAATTCTTTCATTGTGCTTGTGATTTCCTCTTTTAACTGAAACATTATTTCTGATCTGATTACTTTTACAGTCTTATGAATTGTTTCTTTACTTCAGTTGCTATCCTCTCAAAGATGTCAGGTGTGTCGCTTCCAGTTTCTTCTGTGACTATATCTCCCAGACTTGTTCTGTGTAGGAGGAAGGTCTGAGATTCTCTTTCACTGCTTTGACTTCACATTCTGCTGGATTCCTCCCAACATATTGGTTGTGGGGTCCGAGGTTATTCCCAAAAATTGCCCTTCTATGGTGTAGGAGAATGGGACAGGCGCTTGGGTTTTTCGACCTCAGGTTTCCTGGGAAGTAGCAGGGCATGGAGCAGGCTTCTCTAGACCCATGCAGCTACAACGGGGCCTCCCGAGTGGCCAAGGGTGTCTGATGGTGTTACTGCTTCTTTTCTCACACTGTTTATAGCGCATGTTTATAGCGAGGCTCCCCCAATGGCTGTAGGCACTCAGGGGTGGGTCTTACTGGTGAGAGCTTGCTGTCAGAAAGGAGCAAGGGTCTCCAGTGGTGGCCTGCAGGTGCACAGGAGATGCATCTCCCTTGTCCTGCTGGCTGCCAGCAGGAAGCATGCCTTGTGATGTTGGCAGCTGGAAAGTAAAAGTGGTCTTGTTGAGTCTTCTTGATTGTGCTAGCTGTCTGCAGAAAGCAAGCTTTTCTTTCTTTTTTTTTTTTTCATTTAGAGAAAAAAAAGCAGAATAGAAAAAAGAATAGAAATAACACATAATTTCAAAAAAAAAAAAAAAAGTAAAAAGGATGACCTTGTGTCTTTTATAGGTAAATGGAGGCAACTTGAGACTCTCCGAATAAGTCAAATATATCAGACTCACATTTGTAAATATTTTACTCTCTAGTATAAAATAATAATAAAAAATGGAAGAGTATTAAGATTCAAAATGTGTAATAGATATTGTGATAATGAAAGGGAAAGACAGTACTCTAAAGGATATAACTATGTATATTTAAGTGTGCAAGATAGATAACCATGTTAGTAAGTTTTTATTAGCTCATCAAACAGAAAAGCAAGCTTTTCAATGGTGCTGGCTGGCCAGCAGAAGTAGATCAAGAAAATATTCTAATAGTGCATATACCAGCAATTAAAATTATTTTTTTCCAGTGAGAAAACACATTATTTGTAATCTCAACTAATTAGAAGAGTGATACAAGATCACAAGTTTGAGGAGAGTCTGGAGGATATTGCAAGGCATGTACTAAAAAGAATTAATCTAAAAGTGCTAAAGATGTAGCTTAGTGCTTCTTGGATTCAATTCTTAGTACCATAAAATAACTAAAGACAAAATACTAAACAAAACATATTTATAATAATACCTGTTGTAATGCATAACAGAAAATCCTGTAAATGTCCGATATTTGTGAAAATAAACATTCTAAGGAACAGAAATAGTAGTGTCTGTTTCAGTTTCCTTATTTAAACTGATATGATCAATATAAATTAAATGTTAACACCCTGATTACTTTTAAAATCAGGTGTCACACTTAAATTTTGGAACTGATTTAAATAATTCATGTAATTATATAATTAAAATGTGAGGTGGAACTTTCAGTTGTTTTTGAATGAGATTTTTCTTTTTTTAAAAAAAAATTTACTTGAGCATATCTACACGCTACTGTCTCTAGTATATGTGACTGAAAAACTTATGTGAATGGATTTTTGTTTTAGATAACACAGCTGTAGTTTTGACTACTAGAACTGGTTTTAGCCTTCAAGAAGAACCTGTCTTTTACATACCCATTTTGATTGCTGACAATGGAATTCCACCACTTACAAGTACAAACACCCTAACAGTATATGTTTGTGACTGTGACGACAAAGGGAATGCCCAGATCTGCAGCAATAAGGAATTAAGCTTTTCCATGGGATTTGGGATAGAAGTAATTGTTGCAATTTTGATCTGTGTTACAGTAATATTTGGTAAGTACTGCTGACCTGAACATATCTGTATGTATTTAAAGTAACTTGGTGAATATACAACTAAGGATGGTATGGCAAATAGTGTGTGTATTTAATCATTCTTGTAAATGGATTATAGCTGTTAAACCAAACGGATTAAATGGAAAAATACATTTGATATCATATATCAAATGATCTTTGAATTGTATGCATATTTGTGTGTATAACTGTTTATGAACATTTTTGAAATATATGCACTGCAACAAACATGTTTTATAAAAAAAAGATGATGGACATCTATTGTGTGCTTATTCCACAAGATAGTCTTCAGTGCTTTGTGTGTATAATTCACACCAAAAGTCAAGAGCTGAATGCTGAGAGTAGTTGTATTTAGTAATTGCTGCTGGAATCACAAATGAATTTCTCAATCTTGCTGTTCCTTTATCTGCTATCAAAAGACTCCTCTCGCTCCAAAATTAAGCATATTTCATGATTAAAAGTTATACCCTTTTGGTACCCTGCTTCAGGTTTTCAAATCATTTTTAATGATCTTTTATCTCAAAATTGAATTCAGAGCTATATCTCTAGACTTCAGAAGCCTAAAGCAACAGTAAAGCTTAAAGCATAATGTTGGGGAAAACACAAGTTCTTAGCTAACCACAAAACAGACTTCAGCTCATCTCAAATTCTATAAATATAACACAGATTCATGGTTAAAAGCATGAGAAATTTATTTGTTGGTAGGAAGTACAGGTCATTTAATAGTAATTTACTTTGAATATTTTGTGAATATTCTCTTCAAGTAGAAAAATTATTTTTACACTTTTTTCTTTATCAGCCATATATCTCTAATGAGTTTTGAACTATAGTACTTGAATTTAAACATGAAGTCCTTAGTTTATTGAAGAGCAAAAAGTTACAAGTTTTATCAATTTATTTGAGTTTTCTTGGTGTCCTGTTTAATGTATTATAATTATTCACAGTGATTTATTTTTACTGTCTTCCTTGTCAGTTGTCATGTCTCCCTTTTATTTATAATTTTTTACCCAAGTTTTCTCTTTTTTGTTATATAAAACATTACCTAACATATTTCTTCCCATAATTTTAAAAACATTACTTCATTATTATTTTAAATCCCAGGTGAAGTGAAAGCAGGTTGTTCGCAATGCTAACACACTAGTGAATCGATGCACGACTACATGCAAGAAATACTATTTCTGTATTTATTTTAAATAGAAAAAAATAACAAAAAATCAAGAAGCAGACAAACCATGAAAAAAAAAAAAAAAAACAACTAAAGCAAAATGACAGCAACAATAACAAAAATGGGAAGGCAACCTTTCAAGGCAAGATGATAGGAATTAAACAAGTGTTGTCATATTGTACATTGCTATTCTCAAATAATTTCTCAGACTTCCAGACAGAGCTATGCAAAATTGATCAAACGATAACATCTTTTTAAATTAAAAAATTCTGAAAGTTTTCTAACATGTAAAACATACTATTCACTTTTCTCATCTTTAATAGATTATCATAAAATGAGTTTCATAGAGTATCATAAAAAGAGTTTAAACAAAAAATAAATGCAGCACTTTTAGAATAATGCGTGGCCTATATGTTATACCCAATAAACACAAAGTTAGGCAAATAGTATGTCACAGATTTTTCCTCCATGAAGAATGTCAAACTTGTCCCTTTCTAGATTTCTTATGGATCACTTAACCTTGTCATTACCCAGTGCATGCAGATTAGAAAATGTTCCTTTACTGTATTTTGTTCTACTTGAATATTTGAGAAAAAATTAAATTTTGAACTTTAAATTGAGCATGATCAAAAACAACTCACTGATTTATTGTCTTTTTCCGTAAATTATCAGCCAGAAACATGGTGTTTCCTTATGTCATTTTTGCACATTTTCTAGAATATTCAAAAACAAATGCATATTTTTGTTTTGTAATAAGCAAATTAAGTCCTATATTGATCTTGTACAAAAGTAGAATTTTAAAGTATATTTTTACAATTTATTTCATATTCTGGTATGTTTTCTTCATCAGGATTTATATTTTTGATTTTGGCTCTTAAACAACGAAGAAAACAGACTCTATTTCCTGAGAAAAGTGAAGATTTCAGAGCGAATATATTCAGATATGATGATGAGGGGGGCGGAGAAGAAGACACGGAGGCCTTCGATATTGTAGAGCTGAGAAACAGCACCATAATGCGGGAGCGGAAAGTTCGGAAAACCGCCAGCTTGGAGATCCGGAGTCTGTACAGGCAGTCTTTGCAGGTTGGCCCAGATAGTGCTGTTTTTAGGAAGTTCATTCTTGAAAAGCTGGAGGAAGCAAACACTGATCCATGTGCCCCGCCCTTCGACTGCCTGCAGACCTATGCCTTTGAGGGAACAGGGTCTTCAGCTGGTTCCCTGAGCTCCTTGGGATCAGTTGTCACTGAACAGGATGAAAACTTTGATTATCTCAGTGACCTGGGACCTCGCTTTAAAAGATTAGCGTACATGTTTGGTTCTGCAGTGCAGTCAAACAAATGAGGCATCAGAGCATCAAGATTCAAAAGTGTTAACCTGTGATTGGTAGTTCACCTAAATGGAAGTCTTTTGTTTGACAATGTTATGTGCTTTGGCTGCCCACGGGTGAGGTCTCCTGCTTAACAGTTTTCTAATATCATTGCAACACACACCCCAAGATTATTTCAAAGGACTCACGTTTTGTCTTTGAACAAACAGTTGAAAGATATTTTAATAATGAGATCTTAGATGTCAGTGCAAACCATTTTGAGTATGACTCAAAAATATTAAGAAAGGATATACTGAAAAATTCCTGTAAAAATAATCATTTCAAAGTATTTTTGAACGGCTATTGTTTGAAAGGCCCTTAATAATACTATGTTAATATTATTTATGCATATTTTTATTCTTACAACATAAGAACAAATCATTTATCTGGGTTAAGTCGCTGATAATACAGAGATAAACATTAGCACCTGGAAGACTCTGGGTGCTTATATAGCGGTGTAAACACATTTACTTAATATGGGTAAGCAGGTTTCTGAATGAGATTCTGTGAATCATGTTTGTTTGATATTTTTTAAATCTTTGCCAAGATCACTTTTAAAATCTATTTTCAAATCTCTGTGCATATGAATTAACTAGAGATATATATTGTAAGTTTGTATTGTTTTTGATACTACAGCTTTGTACAAAATGGTAGAAGAAAATATGATTTTTCATAGATCATGTTCATCGACAGCTTAAAATACACTTTTGTCATGTCAAAATACAATGGCTAGAGCTAAGGATATAGCTCAGAAGCATAAAGTCCTGTCTGGCAAGTGTAAGATCCTGAGTTTGATTCTCAGTACCCCCCTCCAAAAAAAATATGGTGGCTACTTGCATCTTAGTATTTACGCATCATTAAATTAAACTCTATGAAATGAGTCAAAAGTATGAAAATTTTAAGTAGATTTTTATTTCTCCTAACATTTTATGAAAACAAAAGTACTGTTGGGTTTAAACTTGAATTATTATACTTATTAACTCTAGTAACTCAGTATTCATGTAATAAAATGTGATTACAATTCTCAGCATTTCCTTTTCTATTAAGGATACAGGAAAAAATCTCATGATGCGTCAGTGCTGTGTGCTTTTTAGATCCAGTATAAAAACGATAGTACTTTGAAGAAAGTAAATGCTTAATGATTAGACATAGCTTTAGGGTGACATTAGAATATAAAATAATAAAATGTTTTTCATTTTAATTGACATTTTAAAATGATAAATATTATGTCGGAATGAAGATGAACTTCAAAAGAGTTGAATAGTAAATATAGCAATGAAAACAATGTCTTTAAACTGGTTTACACGACCACTTTTATTAATGGCGTGTGAGTCTTAGCTGAATCTAACTGTATATATTTAAATCAAATGCTGCATTTCAAGTAATGTAGCACTGTGTGTCAACTGTTCAGTGGCTGTCATAATATTTCTGTACTTTCAAATTTAAACATACCATAGAGTAAAAATTTTATCAATAGAAAGTGGGAATTACGATGTTGATAAAACAGGAGATTTTACTTTACAAAAATTGAGAAAATCAAATTTGAAATGTAACAGTTTAGGAAGATATTGCAAACAGATAGCAAGATATAAACTGTAGTGAATTCTTATGTATTAATATCATTAAATACCGAGGACAAAGTCAAAACACTGAACAAAAATGTCTTAAGAAGTATAAACTTGAGGCTAGAGATATAGTTCAGTGGCACAAAATCTGGGGACAGAAAAAAGCATATACTTATAAATAAAATAGAATAGATTTGAGAATGAAGAAAATCTTAACATTTCTATCATACTGTGTTGGGAGCCGCGGCCGAGCCCGGTCGTCTTACTTGGCGGACGTGAGGCCTGTAGGAAGGAGCAAAGCCTGAGCTAGATTACCCCTCCCATCGAGTGTGCTAAGATGGCGCTTGTCTCCTGCTTCCTGCTTGGTAAACAACCCGCTCTGTAAGATAGTCTGCCTAGCAATAACTGATGTTAGCCAATCAGCCCGCATCGCGCGCTTTGAACTGATTGGCCACTGTAACCTTATAAAAGTGAGTGCCTCTCCCGCCAGAGGGAGAAGCACGGAAGGAGCCGCGGGGAGCGGACCAGTTGAGGCTTCGGCCGGGTAGGATCCCGGTGCAGACTGTGAGGAAGACAAATAAAGAAAAGCTTGTCCACCACGAAACCCTGTTGCGTGCTGTTCCTGCCGGCCGGGAGCGACACCGACAATACTGATTTAGAAATCAGGAGCATAGCTGGAAAAATTATCATGAATGACTCCATATAAGGTTTTTCACTGTATTTTAAAAAGAATAACATGCAATTCTCATTTAACAACTGGAAAATATGAAATTACAAAAAACACACCTCATGAATCAATCCATGTAAAGTAGAGTAGAAAAAATAGAATTCTGTGTATCACAATATGTTTTGTCATGAATAAAATGTTGAACATATGTTAAAGAACTTTTAAAACAGTACAATATCTGTTACTAGAGGTTTAATGCTTGTGACCAGTGGCACTGAAAACCTTTTTAAAAAGTATATGCTGATTTTGTCAGCAATAGGATTGTCAATCATTTAGTACACTGCAAAAGAGCCTGAAAAGTAAGTCCACTTTATCCATAACAAAAGAAAATTTCTAATTTTAGGAGTGAGGTCAAAACTTCCTGGATAATTATGCTTGGCGATATTTCAAAACTAAGATTTTTTTTTGACTAATTATAAGGGTGTTATATAAGCATAGCTCTTTCCTAAGCTAGAAATATCACTTTATGTTTGTAAGTTAAGTAAATCTAAATGACTGCAGATAATTATGAAGATGACACAAATTCACAATAAGACCACTGATATTTAAATATCACTCTCACCTGACTTACAGGTGAAGCATAGTTTAATGTTATAAACCATTAAGTTGCTAATAGTCAAAGTATTTTAAATATATTATATTAATCAGAAACTTTAGCAGTACTAATAACTAAGTGCATATACTTGAGCCTTCAATATGAATTTAATTAGTTGCTTCTGTGGGAACTTTACCACAACTATCTAATCTTTTTATATTTCATTCTGTAATCTATAAAATGAGGTCCAATCCACTTATTTCCTATGATTGTAGTGGGAAATACACAATAAAATAGGTAAATTGGCATTATATACAATAATTGGCAAAATGTAAAGACTCAACAAAATGTCACAATTCAATACCCGCATCCTGTAACTGCTGACTGGAAGCAGGTCCATTCTGTACTCACACTCCATCACCCCAATGGCTTCACAGCACATCTCAAATATAAGTCGGCTTCTAATGTGATTCATCCATTGTATAATATTTTCCTGTTCTCATTTCTGCAGTCTGCCTTCCGTTCTCTTTCTATCTCTAGTAATTTAATTCTGATATTTCATATTCTATATCTGATACAATCTTCCTTCAAACACTTACATTTTTCATTCTTGCACTGCAGTCAACTGGTCCTCTCTGAGACAGACACACCTGACTACTGTTTACCACTTGTGGTACTTGCTTTGTCTTTTAAAAATAAAATCATGTAGGGACCTGGTAATATCATGTATCATATCATATCATATATCATATATCATATCATATATATAATATATATATATTATTTGTCATATTTCTTACTTATTAAAATGTAATCTTATGTGGGTAAAGAGTTGACAGTCTTATTTTTTAATAGTGTCTCTAATGGTTTCTAAAAAATGAAAACTAGCAATAAATATATCTTGACTCAATGTAATTGTACCAATTTAGTCATATATATATATATATATATATATATATATATATATATATATTACATTGATTTCCTCTATTACTATGGAATATTAAAACAATTAATGCAGGGTAGTTTGCTACAAGAAATAATTTTCAAAATTTTCTATAAATTTTATAAAGTGAGGCTTTTAGGTTATTTATGATCAATGATAACAAACCTGGGTGGGGTTAGTGATGTTAGTCTATTCAGACAAAACAAGTCCTGTAATCATCATTGTGGAAAGTTTCGTAGGAATACATTCTCATGAAGTGTCAGAAATATGAAAACTTCATATGCATTTGGATCCTGTTTCACAACATAGAGTACAATACAGTAATAAATACATTGTAAAATGCACAGATCTATTCAAATCCCCAAGTTGATTAGAATTTGTGTATATCATTTGTAGCATTATTAGTACATTTATGAAAAGCAAAGGCAATAATTCCATAAATGAAGTATTTAAACATATCTATTGAACTAGCTAGTTATCAAATTTCCTATTTCTTGGGAAAGGAAAGACTGGTATTCCAATCACAAGGGAGAGCCTTTGGGATTCCTAGATAATTTTCTATTTGTTTTCCTTAGAGAGCTCTGTGGAGAGCTGGCTGACCATCTGAAGTGCCAGGGGAGGGGCAAGAATGGGATGCATTTCCTAGCCTTGAGGAGGCAGAGCTTCATGCTTTGGCTGTAGGTTAAAAGACTGCTGCTGTAGAAACTTTGCAAGCATTATCAGAAGCTAAGAAAAAGTTCAAATCAGTTATTCAAGGACTGTATGAGACACATCATGCAACAACAGAGGTCTCAAATCTTTGGGAAGTGTCTAGAGAATTCCCATCTTTGAGATGAGTCGTGATGTACCCTATGCCTGCATGTATTCTAGGACAGCGCTTCAGGCATTGAGTGCCTGTCATGACAGAGGCCGCTGGCTGGGAGATTAGGATAGAATCAGTTTGTTTACAGCTTCTTCCAGTACCCATCTAGACTCCAGGGGACCAGAAGTACCCAAGTAAGAGAGGACAGGATACACACCTTCCCCGGGACATTCAGTTGAGGTTTTATGTTAAATAGAAAGCAGACATTTTTCTTCATATTTGAAAGCAACCAGAAGCTGTGGGAACTAGTATTTGATCAAAGCAGGTACCAGAAATTCCAATGCAATATTTCCAGAGTTGAATGGAAGGAAAATTTTCATGATGGTTCCCTTCAGTTAAAAACTAATACAAATTCAATACAGATAACATATCAAATCAGTTTGTATTTTATATAATTCTATATAATTCAAATAATAATGTAAACATCTAATTTCTTTTTTTGTCTTTTTCGTTTTTATCGGTACCAGGGAATATCTAATTTCAATATAATCCATAACAAAGCAAAGAACTTACATTTGTGATATTATTAAAATGTACAACTTTATGTAAAAGCTGTATTTATTCATTTTAATATTTAAACTATAATATGCATAATTGATTTGTGAGTTATCTTAGTTATAACTAAAACTAGGCATGGTAGTTTTGGTATTTTCATGAATATAGAGAGATAAAATTCAATAAAGCATTTCATCTATAAAAGGAGGTAGAGATGATATACATTATCCATATGAAATAATGTTAAATATTTCTTCAGTCTTACCTCATTCGTATGTTATTTTCAATTATTTTTTCCGTTTGCTAACATTTGTTGGTGTACATCCTTAGGTAAGTTATTTAAAATATTTTCTCATGTTGCTTTATCTGCACAAAGTTCATATTATGAATGTATAAGCCATAAGATCATTACAGAAATAACTGGAGTTTTAATATATGTAACATAATTACGTTACGTATGTAAACATACGTTTAATATACATAATGTAATTGTGAAAAGTACAGAGCAAACACTTGATGCTTGTCTTTTTTTAACTAAAATAATGTAATCTTCACATTACTAATTTCATCAGTAAGCAGGCTTATAGATCTACCTCTTTACTCAAGTACTGGACTCAAAATGCTCAAGATAAAAAAGTAAGAAAATGAATGAATTTGGGACAATAGTCAACTAAATGTTACATACGGTTTTCTTACTTTGACTATCCAAGGGAATGTTCCATTATTACCCATAAAAGAAATTAGTTGCTCAAGCTATGTATGGAAGAATGTGATTGAAAGTCATTTTTCTATGAAGTTTACTTTGGGGAAAAAGCTGTAAGTAGCAACCAGCTTTCATAGCAAGTTTTGTAGATATACACACAAAAAAACCGGACCCAGTAGTTGGTTTTGGGAACAAAAATTATCACTGCATTATAGTAGAAGTACATAGTACAAAAGAAAAGAGAAACCTGACAATCCAAGAGAAAATTTGCCAAATATTTTCTTAATACCTATTCACCAGAGTTCTAATTTTATACTAATATATAGAAGTTAATTTACACAGCAAATTATTATCGTTTCTTATAACACAAAATGAAAAATCATGCACTTTTAACTTTCAAATACTTTTCTTTGTCTTCTTTTAAAAATAATTTATAGACACACTGCCAGGTGGTAGACACTGAGTGTATTATGCCATCTCGCTTTCTTGTATCTCAGCCACTCTTAGGGCTCAGGCAAGTTCCAGGCATATGTCCAACTAATAGACACCTCAGTGTTCAGAAACTTTCTTATCCCAGATGACCTTTATGTTATTTGAAAAACTTTCTCTGTAGAGCTAATTATCTATTTTTAACTCTAAAATTTACATATATCTGTACTTGAAATGTTTAACTTACATGTACCGAATTTTATCCTGTGATTTGAAAATGTTTCAAGTTTCATTAATTATGGCAATAAATTTAGAAGCTTATATATTGTTCAATATATTTATCAGTGATAATATACACCATTAAATAGTAATTACACAGTAAGTAACTATTACAATCATTAAAACAATATATCCCAATAGCACACTTTTAACAACAAAATTTTCTCACTGTAACATAATGAAGATGCTTGTTAATTTTCTCTTAATGATTAGAAAAGGAAATCATTAGCAAGAGACATATAAGGAAAATGTGTTAACTGTGAAAATTCTAAAGTTTTATCATTTGTATTCACACATCTTGAATAATAAGTCAGTAACATAAAACATGCTATCCTGCTAGATCCACTGAGAATCTGCCTTTTGACTGCTATGTAACAAGCCACAAATAGAATCTTAACAAACACTAGTGCCCTGGCTAAAAAGAGTGAAGCCCTGGTGGAGGTGAAATGAAGGATCACCGCCTAAGTGAGAAGTTACTGCTTAATTTGGTCTCAAAGTTAGCCCAGCTCCCCTCTATACATTGCAGAAGCTTCGTCTCTCTGAGTTTTACTATTGGCTTAAGGGGAAAATTATCGAAAATGCAGGAATCTGCATTCTTTCTCTCTTTTTTCCCTGAATATACCAAGAAAAACTCTTCCAAATTGAAGTAAATCAGAGCCATGAGCTTAAATATAACATGGATTCTCTTATGTGAGAAACTGTTTCGAAATATGAATAGAAGAAAAATAAAAGAGAGTCAACAGGAAACAGGGAGATAGATCTTTTACAAATGAGAAAGTAATCTAGAAAGCGAGGAAGCAGGAGAGAATTAGGAAAGGAAAAAAATAAATTGTGTTATGTACATGTACCAACTGTCTATGAGGAATGTGATCATTATGTACTGCAAATTCATACTAATAAACAATAAAAATTGAGAAAAAAAAACTGGTCCAAACTCTCTCATTCTTTCCTTTTAGCAGTTATATTTGAAATTCTGCTATAAATGTTATTAATGTGTTAGCATATTTCCTACTGCAAGTATGGTTTTAATTTCCAACATACTGGTCAGGAAACTTGGAGCAGAAAAAAACGAGCCATCAACCTGAGTCACAGTTCTATCTAAGCAGAACAGCTGAAATGCAAACCTGCACAAACATATTCCTGATTATGGGACTTTTCTGGGCTCTCTGATTCCCATATCTTTCTTATCAAGCTAGGAAGTTTCATATTTGGTTTCCAGTTACCTTTTATTACCTTAGATATTATTAAGTAAATATTACATATCCATGTACATACGGGTGCATGTTAAAGAGTTGATCAGCATTTTTTTCAGAACAGATTTGTCACTGTTTCTGTTTTTTTCTTCCTTACACTGCCTTTTAAAAATTTATTTTCTATTTATTTGCACCACTTTCTTTATGACACTTCACAAAACCAGTCTCCGTCCTGGTCATTTACAATGCAACAGTCAACTACTATTCCTTTTACTCCAGCTTGCATTTTCTTCTGCTCATATAGCTTGGTGGGTCCACACGTAGTCCTCTACCCAGCTGTTACTGTCCTGTGCCGCCATCCTCTACCCAGTCAGCATGGCAAGAAGTCCAGACGGATACCAATTTGAGGCTGTTTCAAATCTTTTGCTCGCTAGCACAATTTTTTTCTGTCCCTAACAATGGAATGCTCCCTACTATGACTCCTGGCCACATGACTTGGACATATTGTTGGACGAGGGTTGAATTTCTTCTACAGCAATGACTTGCTGTGCAGAGGAAGTCACTTCAGACCAAATCCTTAAACTGGATTTTGACTTTGTATGAAGCATGGATTTTACATCTTATTCTGACCATTGGTCAGCATTATTGTAAGAGTTTGCTGTGCTCTTTGGAAGCTTACCTTATGCTTGCAGAAAATCCTCCCCTCCTTGTGCCTGGGAGACACTGGAACTCACCACTTTCCTCTCAGTTCCTTTTTGATTCTCTGTGATGTCCACACTTCCCATCTTTTCTTTGCTGCATTTCTGTTCTTGCTCACTTCCTCTCCAAGGAATATAATTTCTCTTTTGCTCCCTTGAGCTTTTCTCTTCTGGAATCATAGAGAAGCTACTTGGTTTCTACCATCTTGTCCCCCAAAAGTGTTTTTGATTGTCATCACAATTTAATTATCAACTAGACATAAGAATTATTTTATAAGAAATGTCTTTCAGGATCCATTCAGAACTAAGCACTAGAGATCACAGATTTTGCAAACTATTTTGATGTGATTAACAGAAAGGAAGTTGTCATAAACTTCATTCCTAGCTATAATCGTCTAAGAACTAAAGCAGAATAGTAAATTTCTCATTGTGCTTCACCTTTCCCTTCCTATTATCAGAAATCCTGATTTGTATCATATGAAATATAGTTCTTCTTGATTAAAAGATCCAGTAGCTTATACACTGACAATTTGGAATGCCAGGTAATAGGTATCACTGCTACTGAGAAGAAGGTTCTTTTAGCACATTTCCACCTTGTTCAGTATCATCTAAAAATAAAACCAAACAAAGAAACAAGCAAAATAGCCACACAAGTTCCAATTTGTTTACAGCAGTGTGTGAAAGTCAGACATTGTGTGTTAGAATGAAGGTATGATGTGTGATTAGTGTGCCAATTAAATAGAGGGTACCCTTAGGTAGGGTTCTTTGTAGGGCACAAAAGCAGTCTCTTTGTGGCTATGAGCAGCAAGCATTTTTCAGCTACTTTGTGATTTGAAGCTCATGGCCTGTGGTGTTGACACCTAGCTCTGTGCAGGCAACACTGTCTTGCCTAGTGCAGGCAGCTTCGACTACCCCAATTCCCCTACCAGAATACAAGACCCTATCTCTTAGCAAAACCCAGCATCCAATCAAACAAATGTCAACCCTCAGGGAGGTAGAGTCTGGGTCCTTACCCTATAAAACAAGGCTGCAGTCCTATAATGAGGGATGTTCTATCTCTGAGTCCCAGTACCTTTGCAGTGGCTCTTTACTGCTTCCTCTTGAAATAGCTACACTAAAATTACTTTCATGTCTCACTAGTCTTCTTCTGTGACCCTTATTCCTCTTCATATATTGGAGAAAGAGAGATAAGACTAGGAAGGATGAATCTGGGGACCCTAATCATGAAACTTCAGCGGAGTGATTGGAATTAAAACTCATCAGACTTTGGTATTAATTTTTATGAATTTGGAGGCTTACGGGGAAATTTATACAATGGCAAACAAAAGTTTTAACAGTTTCTCAGTCTAATTCTAAGAATATGATTTTGCAGTATAGTAAAATCTTGGTTTGCAAGCCTAATTCATTTCTGAAACATGCTTATAATCCAAAGCACTTATATATCAAAGCAAATTTTCCCGTAAGAGTGGAACCTCAGATGATCTAACTGATAACCATCAAATATTCATACAAAAATGTATATTGTAGGGACCGGGGATTTAGCTCAGCAGTATAAGCGCCTGCCTGGCAAGTGTGAGGTCATGAGTTTGCTGCCCAGTACAAAAAAACAAAAGTCATTCCTGCCTAAAAATATACACTGCAATGTAATACAAAGAAATAAAAATATGACATATAAAAAATAAGCAAATTAACCTGTACTTAGCTTTGAAAACCTTCATGACTACTGTGAGGAGAAAAGAGAGAACGGTTATTGGGGAGGACAATTTCACTGCCACTAATGGGACCACTGCTATCTACTAGCTCAGTAGAATCCATTCTCTTTCTGAAATTTTACCAAGAAACCCCTCCAATGACACTTGTTTTTGCCTTGCTTTGAAGATTTCATAGAAATGTGACATTTGATATTTATTAAGCAGATTCATCCCTCACACTGCTAAAGCCTCATTTGGGTGGTTTCCCACACAACGTCACTTTAATCCCATTTTAAGTAAGGAATTCCTCTACTTTGTTATTCTACTCCTGTGTAGACTAAATCCCCTTTATAACCTCTCACCCACAATCATGCCCTGAGAGCTAGCAAGGTGAGAGGGGAAGAGCCATAGATACTCACATGTTGTTTTCATGTGACATTCAGCATCAGGTAACATTCATATCGCAAGACATTGCTTGTTTATCAAATAAAATTTTATTAAAATGTTTTCTCACCTTCTACAATACTCACAGAGCAAGGTACTTGCAGTCCAAGGTTTTACTCCATTTCTTAAGAAAAAAAAATCCATTTGTAATCTACAGTAGGCCCCCCCCCCCACTGATGTAAGTTAGCCTTATTTTGGAGTAGAATGATATGCACATTAGGTATATAATTACCTAAATAATATATCTGTGTGTATTTTTCCATATATATGAGTAAAATATATTTTAACTTGAGTAGGAGAGTATCTCAGAGTATTAAAGTTTCCATAACAGAATACCATATGTTGGTTAGCTATTTAACAGCAAAAGCTATTGCTTACAGTTTGGATACAGAGAATTCTAAAAATAGTAGATTCAATGTTTGCTGAAAATTTGCACATATTCTGAATCCCAAATGACACTTCCTTGGTGTATCCTCACTTGGTATAACAGACAGTGCAGTCCCTAAAGTGTCTTTTATAAGGAGAAAAATTTCTGTTTTTCTTGCATTCTTTTTTCCCCCTTTTGTACTGGGGATCAAACTGACAGACTTGTGTTTACCAGGCAGGTGCCTAGACCACTGAGCTAAACCTCCGGGCCTATGGAGAACAATTTCATTCTGTGGAATACCATCCATACTCTTAAAGACTCCACCTTCTATTACCATCATTTTAGGGATAATATTTTAACTTATGAATTGATGAGGTGGTAACATGGAGACCATCGCAGGAAGCTAATACATCAGTAGTGAGAATGGAAAATACACTTCTCAAGGTTTCCGCAGTATAAATTAAAGTTGCACAAAATATATCCTCAATATAATGAAATATTTTTACAATTTTCTTAACTTTATAGACACAGACATTTAGTGAACATTGTAACATTCCTATTATTCAAAATCTTTTCATTTCTAGAAATTAAAACAATTCTTCGGAGACTTTTTCTGAGATCAATTACATTTTTGTTTCTAATGAAATATTTACTTCATTTAATTTTTCAATCTAAAACATGTTTTGTTTTAAAGATACAGATATGACCTGAAGTAATTACTTTATAGATATGTAGGGTTAACATTATCATGAGTAATATAATTCTCTATTAGACCCATTCATGAATTTTTAATATAGTTATAATATTTATATATTTCACTAAACAAACATAAGTCTGATTTCCCTTTAAAGTAAATAGAAAAATGCGTGTGCTTCTTTTGAACTGAGCAGTCAGATATTTTTGCTTTTTTTAGCAACTTTGTATGTGATATATATATATATATATATATATATATATATATATATATGAATAATACATTCCCTTGTTGCTTTGGTAATAAACTTTTTTCATGTATATTGCCATGTTGATAATGTCTGAACCATTATAAAAAAATTCTTACGTTTTTAGAAACTAAAATGCAAATATTTTTATCTAATTGCTTCTCTGAGTAGTAACTATATGGAAAAATAAATGCAAGGATAAATATAAAACTATACCCTTGTTTGGAAAATAAAATAATAGTCATGAGTCTGAAATTATTAGATTGATATTCAAGAGAATATTTATCTGGTCAAGGTATTTTGGTTACTATACATGCACAAACTATTTTTAAAGAAGAGAAAAGCAAAAGCAGTAAATTTTTATTGGAATTCAATTAATGTTCTCAAGTGTATGATCGAAAACTGGTGTATTTTACAATTTTCTGTTATTTTTAAATACCAATAAATATACAAAAATTGTTTTAAAAACATTTCTATATTTTGTGAAAAGATAACATGGCATTTCAAGTGATTAGTGCATGCTGTTTCCTGCCTTTGATAATCTATGTTTAGGGCAGTTCCTTTTAGCTTTATTGCTGATGCATTTTCTACAAAACACCT